CAGGACCAGCTTCCAAGTTAACTGGACAAGCGTACACGCGCGCACAAGCGGAGGCGGCTTTATTGAAATGCACGCGAGGGAGCGACACAGGGTGGGTTCCCCGGGTCGCGTGGACAACACTCCCACGGAATATTAAACGCGTTTTCCCTTCTCCTTGGGTCCCTCCTTTATCTTCTCGGTTCCACCTACCCGCAACATTTACGCGTTGAGGTAGGTGCACCGTAAACGTCAGCGTGTCCGAAATATACAGGGTGATACAAAAAAAGAATTCATAACTTCTAGGGTAAATAGTACTCGCCAGGTGATGAAAAAAGTCCTGATAAACATGGGTCGAAGGATTAATTTTTTTAGATAACAGTTGTTGAAAATATAAAAGATTAATATTTTCGAAATTATAAATAATTTTTATTTCGATTCAAGTTACTAATATTCGAGAGTTATTAGTACCGTATCGGAACAGTGAAGAAAATTGTAAAGTACTAATGAAAATAGTAGAAAAAACCTTCTGTAACCAGAAAAATAAGCAATAAGAAGGTAATGCATTGTTCCATACAGTATCTATTGATAGCTCGCGAAAGTCAGTTGCTTTAACTGAAACAAAAAATCGTTTATAATCATGAAAATATTAATCTTTCGATCCATGTCTATTAGCACTTTTTTTTTGTCATTTGGCGAACGATATTCACCCTAGAAGTTGTGAACCCTTTTTTTTGTATCACCCTGTATACACACGATAATGCATTCTGTGCAGCTGGCTAACTGATGATGCCTTCGGCTCTCGTTTCCATCGAACGTATTACTCGACCAAGACGAATGACGACTGAATGGTTCGAGGATCGATCACAGATGGATCCGTTCCGTCGAGAGTCTAACCGCCTGATAAACGGTGGATTACACTCGTGCTTTTGCCAGCCTCGTTATGTTACGATTTGTCTTCCGTGACATGGCTGCGCCACTGTTTTTCCATTCTGTGTTGCGATATCGTCGTCAAAATGCGCATAGAGAATATTACGACGTCTATGGTTCTCGATGGTTATCGCGAGACACGAAGATTGTTGCAGAGTACGATCTTCTTGGAAATAGACGTGACTCTGGGAAGTAGATGAAGTACTTCAGAGAGGAATCTGGAGGAATGTTTGGTTTAGACCTGAACTGTCTATACGGCTCTTGTGAAACCTAGAACAACACTGGGCGGTATTTTCACGGAATATTTAACGTTCTTGGTATTTTCTATAAACTGTAAAGTTAACAGAATATATATGTACGGGACCTTCCTTTGCTTTATTATTCCACGAAATATTGAATAACTGTCTCGTCCGAAAGGTGAGGATTATTCGGAATGAGGATATCCTCTGGAACCGTGAAAAAGGAAAATCACAGGGTAGTTGCGAAACTGTCGACCAGAATTCTTACAGCCTCGAGTAGGTACTTTGTTTTTGAGAAAAATCTATATAAGGAATGTCAGTTGCATCCAACGTAAGAAATCACTCAATTAATAGAAGAAACCACCTCTATTGCTTTCCTCCCATAGACTTTTGTTTTTTCAGAAAATCCCAAATAAAGATTGTCAGTTGCATGCAACCTAAGAAATACCCAATTGTTGCCAGAAACCACTTCTATTGCCTTTCCCTCCCATATGCATCTGTCTTAGGAAATCTCAAATAAAGATCGTCAGTTGCATCCAACCTAAGAAATCGCCCAGTAAATGCAAGAAAACACAGCTTTATTGCATTTGCCTCCCATAAGCCTCTGATTTTGGAAAAAAATTCTGAGTAAAGATTGTCAAGAAATGCCCCAACTGCTGTAAGAAACCACCTCTATTGCCTTTCCCTGTCATAGAGCCTCTAATATTCTAGAAAAATCCAAATAAAAATCGTCAGCTACCATCAAACGTAAGAAATCACCCAATCAATACAAGAAACCACCTTCATTGCCTTTCCCTCCCATAGAGCCTCTAAATTTTTAGAAAATCCAAAATATAGATCGTCAGCTGTCATCGAACGTAAGAAAACGCTCGATTAATGCAAGAAACCATCGAGCCCAGTCTACCGTCAAAGCCCGCCGCGAGAAAAAGGGTTTTCGATCCCATCCGTGCGGTCCATGTTTGCCCATCCCCTGGCTCGCAGCTCTCTCTCCACCTTGATGATCACGAATGAACTGATTATAATCTCGTTCCTCGCGGATCTCGCGTTTATACGCGCAGAACGGTTCGATCCTACGGGACGATGATTCGCTCCCGTTCTACAGGACGTGGGCCCCGTGGCTGTGCAAACACCCGTCGAGGAAAATATTTGCACAGGATAACGCGGCCCCTCATTATCGGGGATGGCTGCCGGTCGCTCCACCGTAGGGGCTGACGGTTGTTGCCCAGGTGCAACCGGGGAGACATGAGAGCAACAAGAAGACAGGACCGCGTGTCGAACCGCGACCATGGAGGGACCAAAGTCGACGATGGAACCGACTGCACCAAAACGAGAAAGACAGAGAAAAGTCTCGTGTGTGTAACGTACAAGCGAGAGGGACGATGAAAGGGGAAAGAGGGAGATTGATTCGACATGCATAAATTAGAGAGGATGAGCCTTTATTCCGTGCGCGACTCAACGGGATTGGGATTGGGAATTGGGATGCTGGCGAGAAGAGGAGTATAAATTGATGACTGTAGGCAAAAGGCAGGGGTTTATAATAATTAATCTTCGTGCTTGTACATATGTATTGCTTATATACATACCCTGTCCTTCTCACACGCCGTCTTTCTCGATCCTTCTTTTCGTAGCGTATCTTTTGCAGCGTTGCAAGGCATCCCACCGTGGGCCGTATCGACATTCTAGATGGAAACAAAATTAAAGACCGTTTAACTTTGTTTGTTTAAAATACAGATAGCACCTTTTTGAAAGAAATCGTTGTTTCTCGAGTTGTTCGAACGATTGAATGTAATTGTAAAATAAATATAAATCGATTTGAACACATTAAACGCCACTGAATTTAACGTGAACACGTAAAACGTATAATATTAGAAAATCAAAACGATGTACAAAGATTAATATAAACATTACAATAATATTATTAAAGTAAACTTAATGAAACCTAAAAGTGGGCTAAAGATTTTTTGCTAGCAATCGAAAGTTGAAGCTTCTAAGAATGTTCTGTTTCAACTAAATTTATAATTATTAAAAATTTGCGTGAGCCACCGTAAGCAATTTCGAACCACGTATAATCGTGGATCGTCGTTGAAACAGCCGGAAGACGCAGTGGTCCCCGGAAACTGATGACTGGTAACAAAGTATCCAGGTGGTTGGCCCCAAGTATGGCGGGGAAAGACAGTATATCTACGGGAGTTCGAGAAGGCGATTAGATATCGCGTAGAGTTCGCGACGGACAATAAATTATCGAGCTTCAGCTAGCGTGTGTGGCGTGAGCGGGGACCCTCCGTCACGGTGGTCATTGCTAAATTGAGGAATCATCAGTGGGATCCACGCGCGCAGCCGCAACGATTATCGTTAATTGATAAATTCGCGGTGTCCCCTCTGTAATTTATCGAGGGACGGCCATTTCTAAACAGTTATTCCACGGCGAATTCATTACACGAGACGGCGGGGACTTCTTCTGGGAAATCGACGTCGCCAGTTGCCGGTTGTTCACGTGGATTGGCTGCATTTGTTAGCTACTGTCCACTCTGTCAACTGCTCGCGGACGTAGGGAAACGGCTGGTAGAAGCTTAGAGGCAATGTGATGCACGTTTCGTCGGCCATGACGTGGGGATTTTCTAACGGGAAGGGAATTTCTGCTTGATCTTTGATTCATCGATTGGTTCTAAGTCGGATTTCCAGCGTAACTACCTTAGTATGATCTTCTTTGAGTAATAGAATGTATCGTTACTTGGCTTTGATAATGGCACAACTAAAAAGAATAATTTTTTACTTTTGTTGCGTAAATAAACTGCTTAGGTATAGGTAATAATTTTTTACCTAATCTGAATATTTGCAGAGGCAATATGAATTTAAATAAATAATGAGATCAGTATTTATATATTTGTCGAGTGGAATTTTTTAAATGATTTCCTTGTAAAATTTACATTTTGCAAGGTATGTTACTGTCGAAGCAAAACAGCGACAGATGTGTGTGCATCATTCCAACAGTTTGAACCGTTCGTTCAGTAATGTTATCAACTCCACAAATATTATTAAGGACATTTATTTTAACCATTTGTAACCCCCGTTATTTTCTCTGCATCCGTCACCCCCTGAGTCTTTTAGGTCCAGACCTATTTTTCTCATCTTTTAGGCTATTAGAAAATTTACAAAAATTCAGGGACATTTCCCAAGATTTCAACTACATGATCCAATAGCTCGTAAAGTTGAATGTTAGAAGGTGTTTTTAATAACAATCCCTTCGTTTCAGAGATATTTAATCGCAGAATTTCGCTTGTGCTATAAAAGACCCAAGGGATCACGATGAATTAAATGTAGGAACTTGTGCACTGATCGAGTGCTCTGACACTGAAATTTAAAAAAAAATTCAAAATGTACACTCGCTTTGGCCCATGGGGGGGGGGAGGGGCAACAGCTCATTTAAAGACCAAAAAACCCAATGAATATTCTTCTTAAACCCAAGAAATAATTCTCTCCTAAATCGACCACTGTCTAAAAGTACATTTTAGAGCGTAGAACAAACCTTCATATTCCTCAAAAATTCACGGTACAACTGATCCGAACAATTCTTCCCTACTGCTGACAAAAGGCACAATAGTCTAACAATGGAACGTGGTTTGTCATTTCAGACGACGAAGCCGCGGCGAGGAGGAGGCGAACAGCGGCGTGGTCAGCGACGACACCTCGCAGCAGCAACAGCAGCAATCGGGCGGCTACGTTGCCGGGCAGCGTGACACAGAGGAGGAGGAAGAATTGGGGCCGGAAGAGGCGGCGGCGCAGGCGGCCCAGTCCCTGCAAACAGGCGCCGAGGGCGCCGACCCGGAGGTACACAAGAGGGTTGCTGCCGTGCAGGTGCAGGTGCAGGGTATGGAGGGCGACTGGCGGACCTACTGCGAGCATCCGCTCTCGGTAGCGACCGCGGCGATGCTGAATCTACAACAACAGCACCAAGTCTCGGCGGTGACGACACACGGAGACGATCCGGCCGCTTCGTACGTCTACGAGTACTATAAACTGCCGGAGAAGACCACGGCCGATGTCAAACTGCCGCCCACGCACGAACTATGGTCCACGTGAGTGTATTCGCAAATTAAAATTCTATTCTACGTAAGTATGGCGTCGAATTCTTCGTTCAACCCTTTGGGTGCCGATTTATTTGAAAAAAAATTATGCTTATATGGAACAGATTTCATTTTTTTGTTTATAACCTATACTAGCTAGTCTGAAATGAAGAAGAATGTGCATGTTAACACCTTGCCTTATAACATCGAGTCAGACACGTGATGACGATTTCAAACTGGATTTAATAAACATGTATACTATTCATTTTCTTTGAGTCGAAGTGAAATTCTGTTTCATTGGTTTTAATATTTATGATTTAGGGTTAATGTTACACTTGCTCTAAGAGTAAAATTGTTTTTCTGTCTGGGAAATTATTAACGGTAAAGTAAGTTTTGAGAGTAAAGTCGTAAAAAAAAATCGTAAGGCAAGGGGTAAATATTGTTTTAACGAGAATGAGGAGTTAGACTCCGTCATCTTGCATTTTGGTAAAACAAGTGCATGACGATTCTCAGTCGGTAAATGTACCCGTGGGGTTGACATTGTGGTTGTCACACAGGACCAGATTGACCGAGAATTTGAGTTTGAAATGAAATATAGTTGAGGCATCGTTGAAAATTGTACTGTTAGCGCTGTGTAATAATAATTTCAGGTATCCTGAACAAATTTTACAAAATTTTGTCCCCTTTTTCGAGAATTTTTTTTAAGCATGGTGGAACTTTCAATGTTAATTTTGAACCGTAAAAATATAATCTAGAATGTTTAAATTTTATCTTAGAATTTCTTGCGATTTAATTTAACAAATGGTTTTTATCCTGTAGTACATCCACTCTGGGAAACCTCGACCGATACTCTTACGCAAATAATATCGCACGAAAATCTCCCTAATCGGCAATCGTCTCCCGTATTAAACGAAATTGCCAGCGTGCGCCACTTATCCGTCTCCCGAATATTCCTTTCGCAACCAATGATCGTTCGAACGCTCATAAATACTCACGAGTGCGCGCAGGCTACTTAATGCGAATTTTTACGAATCGATAAAGATTTGATTTGACCATGGACGACAGGGGGTAGGGAGTGGGGGAGGGACCAGAAAGTTCGCGGGTTCATAAAGATAACCGTGGCCGATGACTGGTTGTGCATCGAGGGGAATCGATTAGCGTAGATCGTCGGGATAGCCGGCCGTGTAAACGTCGCTGAAAACACTTTCAGCGCGGCCACGACGCTTTATTAACATCCACCGTGTTTCCTCGTATCTCGATTAATAGTCCCGCGCGCGCGCATAATTGAGTGCTCGCCAGGTAGCATAATTTATCCGCGACGCCGCCCGTTTGCTACGTGGAAAAATCACCGTGACACACGGGCATCGATTCTCTCTGTCCCCGTAGATATGTAAACCGACGACGATGTTGCCTTCTTCGTACGGCGAACTGTCGCAGATAAGTATGTACCTACTTGTGTCTTTCCTTTTCCACGTTTGAGTCGGGTGTATGTACTAATGGGCAACGACAGATTTTCACGGGAAACAGATTTATCGCAGTGGTTTATTCTCGCTAGAATTACCAGCATTGAATGTATAGTAAATTGAATTATATAATACAGTAATATAGAGAGTATATAAGACAAGATAATATAATATACCGTAAAATAAAATCTGTCGTAAATTGAAAGCTAATAAAGAGTTGGAATAATATTCGAGCAAATAATTCTCCAAGCTTTGGAAATTTGTCATATAGCAACAATCATTTACCATTCGTCATATAGCAACGATCATTACTCAATTTTCATTACGTAATTTTAGCGATTGCTGAATTAATGTTTCGATTCTTTATCAAAATATACAAATCAGCTTCTAATTGATTCATATATGTATCAAGAATCATTTCAATAACCATTTCAATTTCAATTACAACAAACATACTCATTTAAAGAAATATTACAAATTAGGAGGATATATTACACCTAGATAATCTAAACGATTGCTGCAACAGTACATTTCGATTCTTTATACAAAATATGAAAATCAGCTTCTGTTTCTTGACACTAAAGCTACCAGCGTTGAAAGTATATTAAACTAAACTGCATAATATATAGATATACATATATAATACACAGCAGAGTATAGTACAGGAAGTCCCACGTAAAATATGCCCCACTCACCGGTTAAGTACAAATCTACATATCACAGTAAAACTTCACTTATGTTACAAAATAAAATACAGGTACTCTTTCAAAACGTAATTTTATGACCTTCTTATGCCTCTATATACCTTTTACACGTGAAATCACATTCAAGCTGAACTTACGCAAAACATAAAAATTAATCGTTAGAGCCAGGCCATTTTTTGTGTAATATAAAATGTACAATAAACTAAAAATCAACGTAAGTTTCAACAAAAACACCTGTAATATTTCGATAATAGTAAAAAAAAAAAGGAACTTTGAAATCCGTCATTTAGACGGCTCCGGTTGTTCCATCGTCAAGAAGCAAATAACTCCCTAACCTTCGGTGATTTCTCATACAGACGCCATTTCAATTACCCAAGGATACTAAGAAAAAAAAAATTTTGCAATTATCACCAGTTGAAGTTATCATGCCATCTCAGAAACGCATCGTCGACCGACATTTCTTCGCTGGAGGGCTCCCTCCAGCCGAAACGGTTAATCTCCCGTTCCCCGATCGAAACAGCATTTTTCACTGTCTCCCAGCGCGTAATTACGATTTCTCTGAACGTCGAGCAAACAGTGGCCAGTGCAGAACCAACTCCCGATCGATCCTTCTCGCGAGGCATCAGTCAACCGCGGCGATCCTATCTCGATCGCGCATCGATCTTTCAGGCTTCCGGCGGCCGAATTCAAACGCTGACTGGCCCGCACGCCTTTATCTCGTACGAATTATCGCGGTACAGAAGTTTCGGGCCCCACGCCACGGAAATCCGGCCCCGTGACGACCTCCCCGGCAGTGTGGTCAGACTTATTTATTTATTTAACGTTCGTAAACGGGCAATAGCTCTTTTGGAGAAAAAAAGTTTCAGTCAATTTTAACAAATGGCCAATAACGCTTGGTGGAAAAATATTTATTAAGTATTTTGAATCAGAATTATCGTTTCTTTGGATTAGATGATAGTAAAAGTGCAGATATGAGAGTAAGTTAACAGTATTTAGTTGAAAGTATATATTTGTGTTTTAGAAATTATTATTGTCGGCATTACAAGATTTTCCTTTTTATGTTATCTTGGAGTATTTTTCTTATTTACTCATTTTTCATGTACTAACTTAACTATAGACTTCTATGTTATATACTTGACTGCTAACTCCCACAATTTGGTTTATATAAAATGTCCTCAAAAAGTATGCACTGAAGCAGCGTTTCCTAAACTTTTCATACGACGGAACACTTTATAAATCCTGAAACAATTGATAACAAGTAAACGAGCAAATTTATGCGTAAAGAAAAAAAACAAATATTGAAAATGATTTTTTTACGGAACACAGTTTGGAAAACGTTCTACTAAATTATTTTGTGGTAGATATCGTTAATACATTCTTCATAATACAGTTATTCTAACCTTGTAAAGACATTTTATACAAGTTAGCAGTCTAATATAGAATATAGAAATCTGTGGGGTTAAATAAGCAAGATTAGAATTATAGGTTAAAATAACTGTATTATGAAGAATGTATTAAGCATATCTTTCACATTGCTTCTGCCTAAATACTTTAGTATATGCTTATTGAGGACATTTTATACAAAGAAGCTAGCAGTTCAGTATATAATAAAAGTCTGCAAACTTACCACAGAATCTTAGAATTAAATACGTTAGTGAATGACAATAATGAAGTTAATAGAAACACGTTCTAGATTATAATGACGAAATTGCCGTAACTTGTTGCAGTTTCCGAATCCCGCCAATATCACCACTAACTGTCGTACACAACCAACAAAAAAACACAAAACAAAAAACTAAACGTGCAATTTATTTTTCAGTAATCCAAACCTGCAAGAAATTAAATCGCAAATTAACTCTAAAAACCGCCCAATTCACGTCAAAACACCCAATTAAACCAAACTGCCTCGCCGTAAATCACCGTCCCAAAATCTTCGACACTCCTCTGGGCTAATCCGAATTCCATAACCGTAGGCCGTCTATTAGAGGTCGAACGAAAAGAAAAAGAAAAAAAACACGCTGCAGCTATTTATATCGTGCTACGCGTCTTCCGGTCCATTTGCTCGGTTTGCAAACTCCAGGAGCCGTGCGTAGGTATACCGTGCCCAAAAGAGAAAAGATCTTCTGGATCCGTGACTCCTCGTGGATACGAAGAATCCGTACGCGACGGGGTAAGAAATTCGTTTTACTATACCCCACTGGTTCCCCCCGTTCGGTCCACCCTTGGTCCCACTTTTGATTTATATCGGCCGCTTAGCATATTTTGTAATTTACTGTTGAGAATCCTTTAACGTACCAACCCCCGTTACCAGGGGGATAGAGATGGGGCCGAATGCAACGAGACCTGAGATCGGATTCTCTCTCTCTTTCTAAGGAGGTAACAGTGTGGCATCAGATCTCGCCGTGGGGAGATCTGCCGCCGCCTCTAATCTTCCCTCGCATCTACTTCTCCTCGGTATTACACTCTCTGTACACTCTTCTGATGCCCTCTTGGATCCCCTCCCCCTTTACTCCCGCTTTATCCGATCCGCTATCTGGTCTCGTCCCAGCCTCTTCTCTCTGAAGATTCACCGTCCCTGTCTCTTTTTAAAGAAAGAAAGAGATCTGGCTCCCGCGGCCGATTCGATAAGATCGCGACAATTTGTACGCCGACGGATCGTTAAAACTCCTCGAGGAGACGGGACCAAGGTACGCCGGCGGGGCACGAGCTTAATCCAATTTCATTGTGTCGCGCGGACCGTCCGTGGGGATCGCGATGATCGACGCGCCGTGAGACTCGGGACTTTTTTTATGAGAGAACGATGGAGGGGGGATTTTTCGTTTTGTTTCCCCTTCGGTGACTTCCA